TGCTTGGAACTACGGGATTCCAGGGGCTCTCGTGTGTGTGTTGGTGATGGTGGTGGATGATCTGTGCGTGCAGTTGTACTTCACACATTTATATATAGATTTGGGATATAACCAGAATGAAGCGGCGGCAGCAGCAGCATTAGGAGAGGGGTTGGGGTCCGTGTAGAGTAAGGACAATTTCGACGTGTGTGGGAGGGTGTGGATATTGGGCCTTGCTGACTACCTATTTTTTAGCGTTATTTCACATTTTAGTGGTGAGACGGAGAGAGAGGGGGCGGGGCGGCGGAAAGCCACCCCCTCCCCGGATGCAGGAGAGCGCGGGGTGGTGGTTGTGGGGGGAAAGGAGGGGAGGCAGGAATGGGAGACGGATTTACACGAATTCTGATTTGTTCAAGCGGCAGATAGAGGCGAATCGGTTTGGCGCATTGCAACCCTGTTTTGGAGGGCCGGACACCAGTGAGCTTTTTCAGCTGCCCAATCACACACGCACGCACACACAGGGTGCATGCGTCAGAGGGGATGGGCGCATGGGTGGGGGGTGTAGGAGCATGAGCCTGTCAAAAAGACAACATTTGAGTTAGGGGGGGCGGGGTGATGGGGGCGTTGGGTTGATCACGTTTGCTTGCTCATTGTTAGTTACTGTCATCGGCCTTATCCTCGGAGTGGATGAGATTGAAATACCAATTGCGATTGTACTCCAAGAGCTCAAGAATACCCTGCGCCGCAGGATGTACCAGATCCGACCAAGTCTCCCACAAGGGATGCGAAATAAAATCGATGAAGCTCACCTAGAGGAGAGAAAAGGAAAGTAGGCGTTGCTGGTCAAGTATTGCTTGATGTGGTAATACTGCTAAATCAGGTCTTGCATTTAACTGAATAATACAGCAGGTCGTCAGACTCAGATTAACGAAAAATAAAGAAGTAGCGACTATTTTGGTTTTCGGAATACGGTTGGCTAGAGGAGGCATGAAACAACTGCGGCTTCTCTTCGCCTTATTTATACCGCTTTATCCTATAAATACTGCAAATTCCAGTGGATAAATAATCTATTTCTGCTGTCGCCTCTGATGATGGCTCCGCAACGGAATCTGAAACGTCAAACGAAGGAAGTTCATGTCCCAGCTATTGCATCTGCTTCCTCCCAATAGTTGTTACTATTTGCGTAGTAGATTCCAGGCTTGACAAACGGTTATCTGCTGGTAATTCCACCGCACGAATTGAGGGTGGTTTGTTCTGGCCAGTGAAAGAATCGGTCGCGCTTATGTCCATATCAGTATATAACAGTAGTCCGGTATGTTCCATAGGGCAAATCCAGACGACAAGACGGCACTTCATAGAAAAACCGAGAGCAGATAAGAAGTAGAAGATGCGATTCCTGCGCCAAGAACTGTATTCGCCTGACGTTTCGGATTCCTTCTTGAACCTATCATCAGAGACAGTAGCCATGGCAGAGACAGGTAGTTCGTAACCAGAGAGTTATAGTATTTATCGGATGCAGTCATTATACTGCCGCACACTTAGGATAACGAGCAGCTCATCCTTTATCGAGGGATAATTGCCTGCTTGAGCGCCAATTGCTCGATGGCCGGCGTGCGCGTCGTGACCTGATGAAATTTCATCCTCCCTGCTGGATTTTGGCATGATGACCGCTCTCCGTAAGCTGGCTCAGTGGCACTGAGTTTGGAGTTTTTTTTAATCGCCGGAGTGGCGCATTGCTCTGGCCAAACGGAGCCTCAACACCCACTATGGGTTGGACGCGTCATGGCGCTTGTTTATAGACTGGAGGCTCGTAAACCGTGACTGAAGCAACTCGCGGCTCACACGACTGTTGCGAGAAATTCGGCCACATCGAATTTGAATGTGTGGCCGGGTTTCGTCGAATGGGAATCGGCGTCCTTTCTCCCGACTGCTGCCGGTGTTCAGCTGTGTCATTGAGCCAAAATCCAGCACGGGTGATGAATGATCAGGAGTTCACGACCCGCACGCCGGCCACCGAGACATTAGCACAGCCGCGGCAAGTGTGAACGATCAGGGGGGAACCGTTTATTGTCATAGGTGTGCAGTCGTATAGCAACGATAGCATTGGGAGTAGGCTCCGCCGCGGTAAACGTTTCCGCAGGCATTAGGGATGGCATGGGACAGTGACACTGGAGTTATGTTGTGATTGCCGCGTTCAGGGGAAGCAGACCAACCTGGGGTTGGATTTCAACAGCAAGATGGTCAGATTTAATTCTAGCCAGTGGAGTTTACTACAAGCCAACTGAGGGCGTAGAAGTAGGCTGCAAGGATGACAATTGGAGAAAACAATTTGCTAGAACAACACCACTAAGACGCAAGTTTCGGTAACAGTTTATTTTTTGAGTCACCACGGCACCCAAAAACTGTAATACGTGACCGGTGTTAAGGGGAATTAATGTTCATTTTTAATCTATTATTTTATTAATTAATTTTACTGAATTTGTTTAATTTACCTGACCTAATTGTGAAAAATTTGTGGCCTCGATTCGAACCCACACAACCGGCATCTGGCGATTTATAGATGCCTGCATTCTTCCCCCTTCTTCTCTACTGCTCTCCATTTATTCTTCTAGCCTGAATTAAAAAAGAATTGGTCATTTTTAAACTTATCCTCCGAATGCTCTCTTCAGCCGCCGGCGTTTCTTATGTTTTTCACCTGATATTACAATACAGCGACACTTTAAAACGTCAAGTAATTTGCTGATCTCATTTATAGTTAGGTCACTCATCCTCTCCACTTTAAACTAGTGGCTGCAAAGTCTGCCCCTACTATGCGCCGAAGCTTCCGTCATATGTCTTGCCGTACATCGGCCTATCAGCACTCTATTCTCCCATTCCTAGCAAGCCACCTCGCATGTGAGGAAACAGAAATTCAGTAGCTGAAAGCCGACCTGTCTCCATAACAGATGTGGCTATCATGTAAACTTTTAGACTATGACCTTTTGCCTTACCTTATTCCTTGCTCTCCGTGAATGGAGCCATTTTCTGTCTGAAAATTTTGGATACCTACCTTCAACATAAGGCATTTCTTCCTCAAACTCTCCTACAACTTAATCTTTCAATGTATTATTTATTATTTTAATTCATTTTTGAAATATCGCATGCCATTTTTTCGTTGCTACATATTAGCTTTTTATAATCATTTATCCACTATAACCCATTTTAATTTGATATATTTCTTTTATTTTCTCTCATACGCTCTCCATATTGTCCTCATCTGCATAACCCTATGACCACTTGTCCCGTATTACCGAATTCTGTAGGTTTGGTTTCGGTGGTGATCCGTATGATAGATTGTTACCCAAATCTCGAAAAAGGGATCGATCACCACAGTGACTGCCGTACAAAAATACAACAAAACCATGCGAGTGGATTTTTTCCTTTCTTAAAATTGGATTTCAAATATATTCAAAATATATGTCGCATTAGAAGTGAACAGAACGCAGACAGGAATAAGGAAAATAAAAAAGACAGACGTCTAAATTCAGAAAGAAGATCAAAGCAGGCCGGAGCGAAACAAGGAGAGAGAAAGAAGACTTATACCCACCTGGGACTTCTCGACAGTAGCGGTTTGTCGGTCGCACATGGGACTAATGTCCAGTCCCGCGGCCCTTTCACGGTCACCTTGAAGGAAAAATTCCTCCATCAGGCGATTCATCCACCGGGTGTAGAGATCGAGAGGTTTGGCTGTATTGCTGAGGTCTGCACAGTGTACCATGTTTTGCAGAATCTGCAGGAGGGAATAGCAGACACATTTTATTGGGGTTTTTCTCAACTTCAAGCGCATGAACGGCTGTCAGTTCCTCTTGCAAAACGGGGAACCCCACTAAATGGGTAATTTAGTGAAATTTTACTAAAGGTAAATGTAGAGGGAGGCCGCGTGACACTGGCCCAATTCGAGTTTCCTACTATCCTTGAGTTTCAGCGAAACGACCTGGCGAAAACCACGCGCGTCTTCACTGACCGGGCATTTCGCGCCACGGGCGAGTGCTGTTCGCGTGTGGTAAGGAAGAAGCAACTTCCAATAGAACACTCAGCCAAGGCTCCTTCTTCGGTCTGAGACGGCGTTGTGCCATTTCAGAAGACGATGGTTCTTTAATCTCACCTGACGACGGTCACCACTGCATGACTTGTGACTACAAAAGGCAATCGTTTGCTTTCGCTCTTCCTGCACCCACCCTATTCCCATACGGTAAGGCAGTGTCGGACACAATTGGAGCTGTGCGCAGGTGCAGGGTCAAAACAAAACGCTAAGTTCGCGCATTACCTGCCACCGAAGACTGCAGGTATCGGGCTTCAGTGAGGGTAGTGGAGGGTAAGTTGGAGGAGGTTGACAGTTGG